ATTCTCAATGAGATCGGCTACAGATGGAAACAGATTCGTAAACTTTGAAGATCTATAGGAGGCGTGTTTTTTCCAAAAAAGTCACGGAACGCGAATGTGTTTAAGATATAGTGCATATGATAAAGCAAAATTGTTTGTTTGTGATAAGGGTTTGAGTTTCTGCCTGAACGCAACGAAAGTGTGACAACACAATCAACAGATATTGAATCACACCTATCACCTCCACCAGAGACATTATATCCAGGAAAATGAATAAGAACATATATCGACGAAAAGTCAGGCTGAAAACGCAGCCACAGAAAAGAAATGTGACTCAGTAATTGAGTTAGTCCAATCTCCTAGCGACAACTTCAAAAAAGCTCTCTCTTGGTCGGCAATAATTTAGGCTGAACAGGACGCTCCAGACTAGTTTTGAAAACTCGAAACATCGGTACGCTTTCATCTCACTGCACACTTTTGAATAATTGATCCTAGCTAATGCTGAATCTTTTCTTTTTCTCGCTGCTTCCTTTGTACTCGATGGCTCCGCTGCGTCAAATTTTGAAGCTTTATCTTCTTTCACCTTTCCTGTCCAACTCTTTTTAGCAACTTGCAATATCATAGCAGCAATTGTGTCCTGCACTAACAATTACATCGCACCATATACGTGCAGATGGTACTTCATACTTGTTGTACATCCTCGAATTACAATTGGCCTATGTCAGACATTTGGATTCAGTGTCTAGCACTGGCTTACCATGAGCGATTTCTGCGAAAGGATGGAATTGCTCGTACAATCGCTGGAATCATAGAATCGCTGAAATCGCAAAGCAATACCCCTTGACCGAAATAAGCGGGCTCTTCGAAAAACCACGCCCCAACATTGACCTCAACCCTCCCGCAAACCACAACCCTGGCTATCCCCACTAACCCAATCTTAACCCGAACTCAATCCTACCCAACCCAACCCTAGAGCGACACATGCGAGAAATACGTGGGTCGTGCGACATGCGATTGTTACAATGGTTACGATCGATTTGTATTTAGTACTCCTCACTCAACAATTGAACTTCCGGAATACCGTGACGCGTAGTCACGTGTTGCCTGGTTGTACTGGATCACCGCACCGCCTCCCCTATGCGACCGCGGCTTGTCTGATCGCAATAATCGTCACGTATTGTTGAGCTGGAGTCAGGAAAGTTTAAGCCGGGGTTAGGGTCAGGGTTACGACTGGGGAAAGTCAGGGGCAAGGTCGATGATAGGTCTCCGAAGAGCTTGCTTATGTTCAGTGGCAGGCATTGCTATGCTATTACAGCGATTTCAACAATGGCGAGAAGCGCAGAAATTGCTAGCCGCAAACTGCTGCCAGTCGCTCAAATGGCAAAGCCTGACAGCGGCCATTCAGAACACCTCATTGTTCCTCCCTGTTACCCCAGCAAAATGTTCACCTAGCTTGACGCTTCACCCCATGGACTCCCCACCGCTAGCAGTCAAGTGCATAAGTGCAGAAACTGATCCATTGACACATACCACATAGTTGCATAAATACATAATATTATCAATAATAATAGCAAAAACCTACAGAGTGCACCTTGCGCTCCGAATATTGCCTGTTGCATCATGGAGGCAGGAGGATTTGGTTGAACAGGTTGTTGCTGCATCATTTGCGGGACACCACCTTGATATCCCATAGGCATTCCAGACGAGCCTCCGCCCACTTTAACAAATAAGTAAATTTACACTTAAGCATTCATGGTATCCATTTGACTCAAACTTTCTAACGAAAGCTTACTCATCATCTGCTGCCCTTGCATGGCCATTGGAGGTTGCTGCGGTTGTCCAGGACCTGGCTGCCCATAGTAACCCATTCCGGGTTGCTGCTGATGAAGTTGGCTCTGGTTTGGAGGCGGATAGCCACCTGGTGGCATATTCTACGATGAAGGTGTTACACGTAATAGTCAAGAAAATTAATTAAAAAACAAATAATAATGGAACGATTGAACATTCCCAAGTAGATATATACTGTAAAAGCTTACTGGATTGCCCATGGGGTTATTATTCTGCATTTCTGGGACTCTGCTCGATGGGAGAAGGTAGAGGTGCTTGAGTTCTTCAAAACACAGTGTTGAGGAGGACGATATGTCATATTGTTTGAGATGATAAGATCGAGGAGAAAAACCTCACACCAATAATGGATAAGTTTTTAATTACTTTAATGTGGCAAAATTCGAAACTA